GCAAATCGGCTCCAGTCCCCCTGCTAAAAAGAAAAAACAATTCAACGGAGTCCCTGTGACTACAAGGGGTACACACACGCACACGGGGAACACACTCAAGCAAGAACTCTGCCAGATGTTTTTTTTGGCAGTCTTCGCCTTAAGCTCTGCAGGAGCGCAAGCGTGAACGTTCTCGCAGTCGCGATCGCGACCGCAGAAAGTGAACGGAAACAGGTGCACGACTGGTCCAGTCGCCGGACAAGAGCTGTCACCTGCTACTCAAGTTTTGTAGGATTAACCATGATCTTGGATGAAATTTGTGTTTTTGTTTCTTTAAATCTAACGAACGCTCATTTGACAATTCCTGTCACAAGTCTTGCAAGGCAGAGGCTGCAGGCCATGAGAGAGGCTGCATGATGTTTCTTGTGATAGTCTTTATGGGAATGGCGAATCCGGACATGGCCAGACCCCAAAGCTGTGAACGACTTAGTTCTAGTGAGGCAGGGGCTTTCCAGCAGGTGAGACTCTAATCATGGCTTTGAAAGCACAAGTGTCACAAGAATCACAAGGGATTCCCAATTGACTTGGTGAAGCGTGGCCTTGCCTTCGTCCTGCGCCTGTGGCAGACGAGCCACATGTTAGACATGTGGCATTGGAGCATGGGAGATTGGCAAACAATATGGCATTTGGGTTGTGTGTACCTGTGTGTCATGGCGGAATCTATGGCATTTGCTAAAGTATAGTGGCAGTGCTGACATGTGCTGACCATTCAATGCCTGGCCACCTATACCTCCGAGCCACTCACCTGCGGCGAGTGCACAAACTGCTAAAAGACAAGCAAGCTCCAGCTTTGTTTTAAAGCACAAGGAAGGGGTACTTTCTGGACATCGGGGGAAGATTGGCTGAACGGTCCAATAGTTGCCTCCCAATTCAACTTGATTGAAGTTTGAGCACTTGAAGTTGCACATTGAACCGTTGACTTGTCCATCGTCAACCCTTCAGGACCGAAAGTTGCACCTTCCCAGGTGGGAGATTGAAACCTGACGTTGTGATGCCTTGCACGAGTCACGAGCCGACCTGTTTGGTATGTACAATCTCTCAGGATCCCTCGGGGATTGAAACACTTGCAGCTGGGCCTTGATCTCGGAATCCGTGGGTGAAGCTGAAGTTTTGCTGAAGAAATGTTGTTTTTCCTCTCATTCTTTCAAGGTGGAGGTAAAATTTAGCTGGTAGCCATTGGTTTAGTGGTATGAAGGAAGCGACTAGAAGCCAGGACACAGGAGTATTGAGGAAACTTCGAGAAACCTTTTGCTGGCTGACAAGGGTGGAGAAGCTTCCTTGAAGAACTCTTTGAGCATGACTGAAAGGGGACATTGAATTGAAGGAGAACTTCCGAAATTTTCAGAATTGATGAGATGAGAATTGACGGTTTGTTACGTTGGTCTCTTTGTCTCAAAATGTCTCAAACCTTTAGGCCAAAGGCGTCAGCGCCTCCCTTGCCTCCTTTGGATCGTGCAAGACTCAAAGCCTTTCAATTCTCAAGGGAGAGACTCTGCTGAGTTCTTGAGGCATCCCAAGCTCTCTACCAGAACATGTACTGGAGGACCCTCCCATGCTGATAAACTTGCAATAGGATCTCTTGCCGTTGATGACGTGAAGATCGCTCAATTGACTCTTGCCATCAGCCTTGTTTCAATTGAATTTGTCCAACTGTTCTTCACTTGTCTTTCTGCCGATTTCTTCCAACCTGATGCTTGTTTAGCCAGGCACGAGGTGCTGGAAGGCACAAGTCACAAGCTTCGAGCAAGTGACCAGCAGTTTGGGGAGCAAAATCTTATGATTTTTCTTGAGCTTCTCCCAATCCTTCCAGCCATTGCAGCCATTGGCTCATTTTACATTACAATCATGAGCATACGGGGCTGTGTGCCAACTCCACCTTTTCACAACTTCTTTCACTTGTGAGACCTGAGACCACCCAGGCCTTGTGACCTATTTTGCCCTTCCATTTGGAACTGTATACAGACAGACACAAACCCTATTCATTTGTTGAACGTTTATTTATCGACATTATCCGTAAAAATGCTACCCTCGAGCTTCATTGCAAAGAAGGGCTGAGGTGCAATAAATTAGAAACACTAGGCCACTAGGCAGCAGAAGTACTGAAGTACTGTTTCTGCAGTTGTTCGGCATACTGCCTGAGCACCAAAAAAACCCGACGCCGAAAGGCACAGCCGCACTCTGGGCATCGTCCTGTACGCACACATAGGCAGTACACGAACACATAGGCAGTACCTATGTAGCAGTACGCACCCCTCCGGGTGCGCACAGTGAGGATCGCCGCAAAGAGGTGGGGGACCTCAAAGCAGAGGGATGCTGAGGATGAAATCCCGATTTGGAGATGCTGAGGAACCTCCGTGGTTGCATGGAGGCACTGCGTGCTGCAACCGATGAAGAGGCCCTGTACCTGCTTGTCCGTGAGGTTCCAGGTATCGATGCCACATGGTTCCAGGTATCGAAAATGCCCAGCTGGATCTACACCTTCTGGCAGAATCTTGCATGCATCAATCAGATGTGTTTTGGGTGGTAGATGGAGAATCTTGTTAGCATTCTGAATACTATGGAGAGCAGCTAGGACAGGCGAAGTTGTAAAAGTGCCAACAGGCAACGCATGCCACTGTGAGGTCTATGCTCAAAGAAGGGCGCAAAGAGGCTGGAAAGTGGCTGCTGTACTTTTTGGTCAGTGACTTTGTTTAGACTTGCCCGAGAAGAGGCGACCGCCAAGCAGTATGCCCGAACCCTTCTCTTACTCTTTGAGGAGGATCGGAAGGCTGGTCTGTCGATATCTCTAGTGACTCGAAACTGAAAGGCGCTGATGATAGCAGGACGGTTGTTGAAGTGAAGAAAAGGATGGTTGACATTTCCTGGCTCTGTCAGCTTTGGAATGTGCGTCACGGCCATGATCCGTTTGCTATGCTTGAACTGCCTGCTTTGAGCCGGTCGAAAGATGTTCATAGGCTCCGCATGAGATGGCATCGCAAGTATACTTTGACATCACAAAGGTCACCGGCTTAGGGGTGTTCTTGGAGTGGTTCCTTTGTGGAAGGCGCACGGGCAGACGCAACGATTCTAGGCCGAGTAGTTCCTTCAAACAGCACTACACCACCGACTGAGGCTTCACCAAAGAACAAGAGCGGGAACTGGCTTCAGCAGAATCCATGGTCACTGCTTGCTAGATCAAGATGTGTGACTTAGGAATGGTCAAAGGGCTGCATCTGTCAATGCCTTCAAAAAGTTCTATGAACAGATTGAGGCACCTTTGCTGGATGCAGTGTTGCATGTGCCTTTATTTATGACGGCAGTAGGACCTTGCTTCCCAGGGAGATGCTTCAAAGCTCGAAGAGCCTGATGAAGAGGCAACTTTCTGTCAGGTGGGGGGTGCAATGTTGTCGGACATTGGCAGATGCCACCATGAAGACAAGGTTATGTTTCGCTAAGTTGAGTTGACCAGTTAAGTGTGCAGCTTGGGCGTTCGTTCAGGTGGGTAATACCCGAAAGCCCAGGGCAGCCCCAAAGGCCGAGCTGTGAAATAGAGTCTACAGCATGAACACAGCCAGCCAGAGAGAGCTTAGAGCTTCAGCAAACAATGTAGCAATGTAGCACCAACGTTTTGTAGTTTTGTTTTAGATTGGAGAAGGGAAGACTTCACTACTTCTGAGTAGACCTTTACAAACAGCATTGCTCAGATCCATGTGCAGATAGATTTTGCACTAAGCTCAGGCACTGGCACATGCCAATGGTTCCTTTGAGCCCAAAGAAAAGCCAAAAGCATCAGCTGGAACCAAGCAGCCGAAAGAGGCCTTCCACACTGTCTCAAATTCATGACAAGCGCCTCTTCCACCTGATGATGCGTAAAGTCTGAGTTCTGACTTCGGCGGAAAGATGTTTAGTAAAAGCTTCCTCCTGGCTGTGGGGTGGCTTTTGCCCAGGTCAAGAACGGGCGGCCTGAGCCTTCAGCTTGCTCTTGTGGTGCACATGGTGCACAGCCAAAGCACACTCGATGCCTAGGAAAACCAAGCAGACGCATGAACAGGAGAAAGCTAAGGCTGGAAGTGCTGTCCTTGTTTGGACAGTGCTTGATGGTCAGAGATGCCTTGCTCATGTGTATACTGATTATACTGATATCACTGAAAGCTAGGCTTCTAGTTGGCCCCAGAATGTCATTCTGAAAGCTCAATTTTTCTAGCTTTGAGGGTGCCACTTGACAGAGACTTAATGGGCCTTTGACAGTTGGAAGTTGGGAGTCTGAACGTTGGGAACTGTGATGAGTGTCAAGCAGGTTGACAAGCCTCGCCCTGATGATCTAGAGAGGCACTGGCAGAGAGCATTGGCACCAATGTTCGACTGTACGGTCATTTTGATCCCACATGCGAATTCTTGAATGCACCTGATGTCTTTGCCTTCTTGTTGCTTGCTCTTGTGTGATTGGTAGATTCTGTTCTGCAGGGCAACTGTGAGCCTGAGCAGAGCATTCGAGCTGCCACCCAGCAAGTTTGAGGGTTGTGGCCTGCAGAGTTCCAAATTCTTCAACCTGTCATTATTTATGGGAACATCTGAAAGCCTACATTTGTGTGTGCTTTTGCAGTTCCTTTCGCTTTACGTCCGACATACTAGGCCAGGTTGCAGGCTGTTCAGGTGCTTCTCAGCAAAAACAGAATCGGCGAACGGCCGTTCTGCCAGGTTGGCGCAGAATGGGCGAACTCAAAGCTCAAGTTCGCCGGACGCTGAGAGACCCCTCCCCCATTCTGGCACTTCTACGCAAAAGCCATCCTGGGAATCCTGCGAAAAAAGGCCCCGACCCCGTGCCCTTCATGTTTACGGCCGTGACTTGAAGAAGCGCATGACTGGGTCTCAGAACGTGTGACGCCGACGCGGGCTACGCGGGCCGCGCTCGTGACACTTTTGCTCGAGGGCTCAGCGCATTCACGGTGTCTACGTCGAGCTGGAGGCGCGAATCAGACCACGAGAGGACGAGAAGATGAAAAGAGATCGCAAGATCTGCAGGAAGAGATTGGAGGACGACCCGTTTTCGAGAAGGTTGATTACGAAAAGCTTCTCGGCTGAAGAAGATGTGTCCAAAGTGCGAGTTTCCTCCGCTGAGGCGGACCTACATTCTGTTCAACCAGGAGAAGAATACTTGGCGAATGTCTGTCTCTATGGAAGGGCAGGGTGACTTTGCAAAAGTGAAGGCAGGGGAAGTCCTAAAGTCCACGCTTGAGTTCAGTATCATGCCCGACCTCTGGTCGAATGAACTAGCGAGACGTATCTTCTGATGGTCCCTGCTCTGTTTTCAGCGAAGGAACCTGTAGACCTTCCTTGGTTGGTGACCAAACCATGGAGGGTCTACAGCGATGGCGGGAGCTACGAGGAGGCCTTGCATTGGACAGTGACTCATGTGGCTTTTTCAGATTGCAGATCGAACCTGATTGTGTGGCGGGTGCTTCCGCAACCTCATGCTCAGAAATCGGATGTAGGTAGGTGAACAAGCGGGCGCAGAAAGAACGCCATGGGAGAGTGCGCTTTTTCGGCAAATGACAGATG